AAAGGTTTTTTTTTTTTCAACCCACAAAAACTTAATGAGGCTAAAGCCTAAGTCTCTAAGTTTCCCAAAACCTTGGCTTAGTTATTTTTATTTATTTCCCCTGCGCGATACCCCGAGCTTTTTTGACGATGAGAACTGAAGTGACATCAACTGAAAAACAGTAAAAAGTCTTTTTTCATTCCTACTGAATTTAACAAGCTCGAACCGTTTTCAGCTCTGACAACTCTTGTCCAAATATCCATCCCCATTGTGCAATGTAAGAAGTGATAAGTAGCACAAAGAGAAGCACATTCGCTACCCTTGAATTACAAAGTTCTATCTGCTCAGTACCTAGATCTAGTTTTGAGAAATTTGACGTAAAAAATTGAGTTTAACATGATGTCAGACTTTTTCAAATGCAGTTCTTTGAATATCTTGATACCGGATCCGAATAATCTTACGATTTTGACAGACAGAGCTGATAGAACATGGTTTCTGACCTCATGGTCTTAGTAGCTCAAAATAGCCAAAACTGTCAGACAGAACTTTGTAATTCTAAGGTAGCGAAATAGCTGCTTTTGGTCGCAGAAGAAAATGTTTTATGCAGCGACTAGATAACACTGACACACATTGTGAGGCACGATATCCAACTGAAAGACAAAAGTGCTGATCACTGAAGTGAACCTCAAGGACCTTACAACAGCTTTACTGTTTAACCTCCTTGCTGTAGCGCTACATTTCTGCTACAGCTGATGACCTGACTTACTCTGGTTCACACCCGTGATGCCATCTTTCCCAAGACTACGTCACCCACATTGCTCGACTGTTCTCAGGGCATTAATAAATTGTTGAACATCCACTCGAGCTCCTAGCACTGGGATGTAATGGGCTTTTAAAGTGAAAAAAAGACACAAATACTTCGTAAAATTTATGAGGTGGGCTGCTTCCATACTGTCTACCATGACCACCCAGGTGTATGTGAGAATCAGAAAAATCCTCGCAGAATGACGGAAAGCATCGACAGAATAATAATTTCATCTCCCGGGAATCGAATTAACACTTAAACTCTATTAGGCAAAATGTAAAATTGAATCTCCAGGTTCTCCTTGAGGGGTTTGGGGGGGGGGGGGTCTAAGTGGGGCTGCAATTATGTTTTAGAGAAATATGACACAGTGCTCGGTTGTTACTGTGAGGCCCGAAGACGAGGGGGTAGGTTACCCTGCATTAAAAGTTACTTTGCATTTTTTCGCATCTAAGGCTAAAGTAAATAGACTAAGCGATGCCCCACAGACAGTGGTACTTCAGTTTGGGTATGAATCACTTGAGAGTGAGTGAGTCATTCTTGTCCTCTCTTAAGCGTGAGAATCACACCCAGCATGCG